AATATTATCATCAAGATTATCAATGTCATCTTCTTGTGTCAATTTTGTTAATTGTGACAAAGCATATTTTCTATTGCGCCAACACGACAACAATTTGCCTTTCGCAGCTAATGATTTCTTATCCGGATTGTGGATCTTTTTTTTTTCCTTCTATAAAATAGGTACCTTCAGCTTCAGAAGGAAATAATTTAACAATTCGTTTTGAAATGCCTTTGGCTATTTCATTTGTCATACTGCAAAAATAATAAAAATATATAATTATTAATATTTCATATAATTTTTAATGTTAATTACAGTTATTAAACAATAAATTTTGCAAAAAAATATTTATAATAACATTAGAAACATACACAAGATTATTGTCCTGCATATAAGTGATAATTATATTGCACAACTTATTTCTCATTGATCCAGTCAGCTCTTTAATCTTAGAACCACATAGTATTACTCTACCCGTTTTTGATCGTTGTAATAGATCTTCAATGCTGGGAATTGTTTCTAATAGAAACGTATCTTGTGAAGTAGATGCATCTTCTTCGTCTAATTCATGTAATTTTCTTTTACTAGAATTTTCACAAGTATTTGTCTCTTGTATTGCATTTTTATTACAAGTATTAAGTGCATTTTGGTTATTCTCTATACTCTAAAAAATATACAAAATTAAAGATATTTTGTGTTTAAAAATGAATTTAACCTGCTGTTCCGTTAGGATTTATTTTCTTTAAATATATTATTTGAGTAAATATAACCTAGTCTATTTTATAACTTAACAATATAATCACAATAAAAATAAGTATTTGTTACAAATTTTTAATAGATACAAGCGTTGATTCAAAAATTTTTTTTTATGTTTTTTTAATAGTTTAATGTATTAAATAGATAATTAAATCGGCGATTCCTAGCTGTATGCGCGGATGACGGTGCGTTGATCTCGTAGAAATTTAAGATTTCTACGAGATTTAAAATATGTGCACATAGGCACCGATATTACTTAATAACTACCAAGATTTTAACGCGATTTGTGATCTCATTTTTGAGATAGGCACGAATAAATGAACGCGAAACCCTCGCTACACCCCCCTGTAGATTAATAAACGAGAAAAAATATCGGGCCAGGAAATTCGCAGGATCGGGATCCGAACCCGAGACCTTTCGCTACGAGATCAACGCACCGTCATCCGCGTACAGCTCGAAATCGCCGATTTATCTATCTATTAGACTAATTATCTATTTATTAGTTAATATCACTTATTTGAGTTAAATAAATCCAAACAAAACAGCAATATCAATGAAATACTTATTAATTAAATTTACATTAATTTCTGCATCTGAACTTGTTACTGAAGTTCCTACTGAACTTGCTACTGAACTTGTCTCCTTCGTTTGTGAAAAGTTCTTTTTCCAGTACGACAAAAAAATTATACGTGGACCCACTTCGGGAATAAGTTCAGCAATTAATTTTTCATTTAAGTCTTTAATTAACTCCATTGTAATTCCGTTTTCTTCGAATAAAACATTTATAAAATTAATATTTTATAAATTAAAAAAAGAAACAATTTTAGAATGTGTGTAGAAGTGCTTGTGTGCGTGCAAATGTGTATAAAATGTGTTATAAAATATTTCTAAAATTAACATTTATCAATTTCTCAAACATTTAACAATTATTTATCTAACAAAATCACAAGAAAAAAGCAAAAAATAATACGTCATTGTGTAATGACATTAACTTTTTAAAAAATGTGAGATAATATTATAAAACTTATTAGTTACTTACTTTCGAAAACATTAGCATAAGTGCTTATTCCCAATTGTTGTAAAATATCTGTAATCTCCATATTTTCATACATAAAAAATATTATTCCTCTTGAAGTACTTATGTGTATGTACTGGCATAAGAGTATGAGAGCTGTAAAAAAGTAATAATGTAAGTAATAGCTGCATTCAGTAAGAAATGCAGATTTGCAACTGTTGTAACATTTTTTAATATGATTAATTTATATATTTAGATCTGGTACAAACAAAAAATAAAAACAATCATATTGAAGAATTCTGTAATAATTGCAAAGTTTTTTCTACTGTAACGCAGCTAATAATCTCCCCCTTTCTCTGATATAAATTTTGTTCAATATGTTCAAACAAATATATTCCTAAAAGAAATAAATATTTACTAAAATCTAGCATTTTGTGCTTAAATCAAGCGCAAGATGCTTGATTTGAGTAAATATTTATTTTTTGAATCGTGACGTCATGCATAGCGAGCGACCGGTAACGAATTTGACTGCGTTGTACTATTTCGTTTTGTGCACTGAAAAAGAAATTGAATTTAATATATATTTCGGTCAACACGTTGAAATTAATATATATCCTTCATAAAAGAAATAAATATTTACTAAAATCTAGCATTTTGTGCTTAAATCAAGTGCGAAATGTTTGATTTGAGTAAATATTTATTTCTTTTATTAAGGATATATTTTTTTCAGTGCACAAAACGAAATAGCACAACGCGTTCAAATTTGTTACCATGCAGTCGCTCGCTATGACGTCACGATTCAACGCGTGTGATTTGAGTCGTTGGCGAGATGTATCTTCTCGCAAAGGTACGCTTCCGAGGAAGCCAAGTACTCACCGTCCGCGAGGATAGACTATGGCTAAGTTCCACTTATCGCCCGCGGTCGCTGTGGACGATAAGTGGAACACACCTTATATACGTCGTCCTTCGAGCCGACACGAGTTTACAGAGGCTCAAAAAAGACACCGAAATCGACATCGAAATCGACACGATTACACACCGGCACAATGATAAGATGGCGTTGATCCGCGGACGGCATACGTATTTACGCCGTGTATTATGATTCGACCGAAAATTCACCGAAATGTTCACGCCTCAAGGTTAGGCTTAAGATTTGACTCGATACTTGATGCACTTTTACAAAAGATCATGCGAATATTATGAATAATGAGTACTATACCTCAAAAGGTTTCCCAAAATGATGAAAAATAGAGGGTGCATTCGAGGAGCACGCTATTAGCACAATTATCGTCCAAAACTGTTCGAGGAGACGCTTTGTGGCGCTGTGATATACGATGATGACGTCACTGTAAAGGCAGCGTGACGTCATCACTCGCGCTATTTTCGCTATTATTTTCGAGGTGAGGCACGAAATACTATTGGCGCTTAAGCTGCGTTCGGGGAGCTTGCTATCGCTGTCGCGCTATTGGCTCCTCGAACAAAGTTCATAGCGTTTGCGTTTATAGTGTTAATAGCGTCTCCCCGAATGCACCCAGAAACTGCCTACCGCACACTAGCTGCCGCACACTGGCTGCCGCACGCTGAATACCACGTGGCGAATGTGCGTAACGTTTGGCGTAATCTCCGTATTCACACTTTAAAAATATTAGCACACAAT